ACACCCGTGAAAAAAAACCTGCTGAGTATTGACCATTTACTTCAGTTTCTCGCGTGGGGGCCCAAAAAACGGCAGACGGAGGCCGGGTGGCCAGCATAAATATGCAGGAACAGGAGAGGGGTAGGATATTTTCAGAGAAATTTCTTCTTACATGATACAACAACCGATGATTATCGCAAAACTGTTCTAAAGCTACAGAAAATAACGCAAATCACAAACCAGACACGTGTCATGCTTATGCAAACAGCTCAAGGTAACTACACAAACAACAACAACACAAAATTGCACAAGTGAGAAGAAAAATTCAGCATGCTATATAATTCATTACGAAATGCTCAAATTAAGGTTCCCAAAAGTAGATTAATGGACAATCATGTCAGTCATTGGCTGGAACCTTTGAATGGGTCTCCTTATACGGGGACCCTATTTTACAAAATAAGTGCAAAGCAAACTTCTGATATTAGAAACTTTGCAACCATTTTGTCGCCGATGATAAAAATTAAGCTAACCAAAACTCGTAGGCTGATATCCAACCAAACATAACCACGCATATGATGAACATCGCCAAACTATAGATAATTTGCTTACGACGATGCTACAAAGCAAGAAAGAAACAATACATTTGTTGAAGAATATAATTAATATCATGAAACCGGTTCAAATTAACGGGCGCATGGTGGGAGAGTGCCTAACAGTTCAAGTTTGAACTCCGGAGGTAAAGGTTAGACTCAGGCGGAGGAGCTATCTTTGTCTGAACAGCAAATTCCTTGGAGCAAGCATATTATCACGTGTTCGTTTAAACCAGGGTTTCGTAACCAAAAGGACTCGAGTTCGAACCTGGATCAGGCCTCGCCTTTTTATTCTTCCCAGGTTGACAGATAACTATCACTCATCTAAGAAGAATAAAACTACGTCAGATAGCTACTGTAGACTCTGACTTCAATATAAGGCACTTCTGGTTTATGACAGGGAAATGCAGATCATCACTCCATAATTAACTTTAAGAAATAAAGGGGACTAGAAATAGCTCCATCATGAAAATGAAAGGAAATGTAAGGAAGACCGAGTTTCGAAGCGGTTTTTTTTATCATTCCTCAAATGCCGAATGTAATTTGCCTTTCAAAACCTATTCCTGAGGTGAAAATTAATAAATCTAAAAAATCGGATTAACTACGTAATGTGTAAATTTATTATCTTTGGTGCGATAGGTTCGAAATGATAATCGAAGCACATGATTTTTTGTGCAGGATCGATGTTGTTAAACATCAAAAACAACAATTTTTTACGGTCTAGAGGTTAGGATGACCAAACATTTGTTGATCACGTTCGAAAACCATTATACGAAACGTACAAAACAGTACTAGTTCAAAGAAGTGTAGCGCAAAATTCAGATGAACGCATCTCACAAAAAGAGTATAACTCAGAAGTAAGTAGAACCTACTTAGTCGTTTAAAAAAGAAAAGGAACATTTTACAACCGTCACGATGGCAATTTCCCTCAAACACCTTTGTAATTAAGGGCCATTAATTGCGCCCTTCATCTCAGGAAACTTTTGGTGGGGTGTTGATTTTCGTTTCTGAGCTGTCAACTAGTAGTGTCATACTCTATGCATCGATATGGCAAGCACTATTCGTAGTCTTCTGGTTCCACAGAGAAGAACTAATTCATCAACCTCGGAAGTCAACAAGTATAAGCAAGTGGAAGTTCGAATCGGTGAGGTCTAGGTTCAGAGTCCAATGCTTTGCCAAATGAGCAACGCAAATCCTAACTAGATCGCTTAAAAAATATAAAATGTTAAATCTAACGTTTATGTTGAAAACAGTTAATTCAACTACAGTATGAACATGAGGACTCCGCTAACCAAGAATTACCAACTGTGTTAATGAAATTCATAATTATTGTGCGGCAAATAATTACAAAAACAGAAACTGACTTACGTTCGGACAGCAACTGTTCCAACTATGACAAGTAGCCGATGCCTTACAGCAAAACTATTGAATATATGATAACATAGAACATCTCATAAGCCAGCGACGTTTTTCTTATGTAAACAACGCCAGGCAATGATAGTAACAAACAAACAAACCGAGGTGGCTGCAGGAAGTGAGTCTGCATTAACTTTAATGTAGTGCTATGTCTGCGTTCGCTACTTACACAAAGAACTACTCAAACCTAGGTTAGTTGATGATTATGGAAAAATGTTCTTAAATAAAACAATTAAGTATAAAATAATGTTTAGTTATAGCAAAAACCTGAAGTTCAGAAATCACAGGTAAATTGAGGAGGTTTCAGGCACAAGTGCAATGTGGGTTAGTCCAGCGTACGCAGTAAACAAGCAGAGACAAAAAATAGAAACGCTGTGTCTGATGCATGCAGTAACTTAGTCAATTTCAGTCAGTCAACAAATAGTCAAATAGTTAAACAGGCAGGTATTCAGTTAGGCGGTCAATCAGCTAGCGAATCTTTCACTAAGTAATGAAGTGAATTTCTATTTTACGTAAGAAAGTTTGCAACTGTGCCGTTGCAGGTCCAAAGCCCGAATAAGAATGGATAAAGTTGAGGAACGTTGAGGTCTCTCATAAAACCTAACCACCTGTCCCTCATGCAACAACTGTTATTAAACAATATACCGGCTCCATGTTCGCCAGGGTTACCAAGAGCCGCACAGGCTGCGGGGCAACGGAGACAAACTATGAAAAATCAATAATGACTGGTACCTGCTTCTGGCCTGGCCGGAAATGGCGAAAACTGACCACAATCGACTAGAAGACGATAGAAATACTAGTGAGCAAAGGATTCGCTACCTCTTCTGATAGAATGAAGCAGTGTTATGCCATTAAATCACATCAGATAGGTCACACTCGAACGACATGGAGAGTACGAGTTTACAGTTGGAAACTGGAACATGTCCTAACTCAGAGGTAAAGAGAAGATAATATCTGATGAGCCGGAAGGAACCAACTGGAAGACTCTGGTAAACGAAACGTCAGAGCTAAGCAATTCTGAAACCCTGTGGAAGCAATTCCATTGTGTCGACATCACGACGCGCGCTATGGCGGG